GAACATAGGAGACCTTTGTAGTTATGTCAATGGATGGAAAATAGGGAGTTCTGTGTGTATTTAGGCGAAAAGTAGACAATTCAGCGGACATTTAGGCGAAAATTCGACAATTCTGAGGATATTTAGGCGAAAAGTGAGTAATTCATCGACAAAACGGCGAAAAAGGGGGAAATCCACATTATTTCCCCTGGACAGGCGAAAAAGGCGACATTCTGATGCGTTTTCCCCTTTCGCTACCAAAGCATTTACCCCTTTATGGGTTGTCTGGGGAGCTACAATGTTTTGTCTGCCGGTATTATTGCGAAAATACCTAATAGCAGAAATAAGTACTGATATAAAGCTGTCACGAGGAACCACTGAAAAGTACGATTCGATAGTCAAGATATCTTGATCTAAGGTGACCAGATTGTGTGAGATTCTATGTGATCTTCGGAAATCAACCAAGGCCTGTCTAGCTTACGTGCTGATGCCGTAAATGACAATTACTCATAACTTACATGGGACTAGAATAGAATATGCATCAAGAATCGCAGGTTACACAGGACGATTCCAATTAAATTCACACAGTAGTCTTTATATATGTTCATCGTCTGAGTTTCCGAAGTGCAACCTGTCCAAAGAATTAAATAATACAATCCGTGTATGTTGTGACCCAGACTTTCCTAAACAACGCAAGAGATAAAGGAAATAAGCGTGACTGACTATCCAAAGGAAGGGTGTGCTAAATGCACTTTCGATCTGTAATTGAATAGTGGTTTCCGTTTTTATACTAGTTTCTGGTAAAAATTTATACTGAAATAACTTTCCCGTCTATCTTATTTCCAGCTAGCTTCGCAAGCGTTCACAGAGCTAACGGGAACAATCCCTGAGAAATAGAAGTTATTCATTAATGGATCATTTGTGCTAGATTCAAACTTTAATAAACGTTTCCATTTATAACGCACCAGTCCTTTAATTACGGCAATTCTTATCTATCGTGACAGGTCGAAATTCGAACTACTAATATGGTACACCATGTTCAAGGTAGCAGTATTTGGTAAACGGTCTGTATGACTAATCGCGTGTTCGCCAAACTGGTAATTATTACACAAGAACGCGAAACAACATCCCTGTCTCACAGCCATATAAGACTGCACACTACACTCCCTGTCGTTACGCTATAAGAATAAGTCAATGGCCATATAAATGAATTTATGTAAAACTAAAAAGATTACAATATTAGAACTTCTTGTTATCAAGAAGCACAGCTATGGTCTGTATGAACAATGGATTCTGACGTTGTAGCTTCATCATTAGCAGCGATTGAACGCATCAGTTGCGCGCATACGTCTTTCGATGCTTCGAGGCATGAACGGATGAGTTTACTTGCCAAAGGTTCACTAACAGCATGGATTGAGTGGTAGTTGCTGGTGAACTTCTCTAGCAGATCACCACTTTCTGTGGAGATTGAGACACCTAAAGTACTCAAGCTTAAGACTTTGTCCCCGCCTTCTTTTCAACTGATGCCTTTCTGGCCCGACAACATCGAAGCCTGGTTCTGCTACGCAGAAGCCGACTTCCACGAGCACGGCGTGATCGACACACGTGCACAATTCCTCGCAGTAGTCAAGGCACTACCGCGCGAATTCAACAGGTACGTAACACCTAGTATGTTTACTAGTGATGTTTCCGATCCTTACGAAATCTTAAAACGCTCGATTTTTAAACGAGGAGACCTAATCGATCGACAAAGATTTGATCAACTCTTCAACAATATCGACCGAGACAGATAACCGCGACTGGTGCTGGTATCATAACCAGTATGGAAAGTTTTCCAGAAATTGCAGAAAACCCTGCAATTTTCCCAACACGAAACCGACTGATTCGAAAAGCAATTCGGGAAACTTCCAAGCCGGCACGCGTTAACGGCAACCGTAGCCGGCGAACAAAGCCGTCTGTTATTCGTCACAGATGTGACAACGAGAGTTCGCTACCTCGTCGACACTGGCGCAGAAGTTAGCGTTCTCCCAGCAAATCCTAACGACCGGCTTCAGGAATCGGCTTTTAACTTACAGGCGGCAAACGGAAAACCGATCGCTACGTATGGCATTAGGTACGTTTACCTTAACGTGGGTTTACGCAAACCCATCCACTAGATTTTCGTTATTGCAGATGTTTCTATGCCAATCATTGGTATGGACCTTCTACAACACCACAATCTAATCATCGACACGCGCAAACGGAGGCTAGTAGACGGAAACACTAATTTGTCCGTTTGCGTAACTTCTTTTACTGGTTGTAGAGTATCCCCAGTCACAGTTAAACATATGATAGACCCACTCTATCAACCACTACTCGATAAGTACCCTGGGATACAACAAACTCAACCGAAACTACCGTGTGTAACCAGCAATGTTACACATCACATCACGACTACAGGACCACCTGTATTCTCTAAAGCACGACGACTAGCTCCTGAAAAGCTAAGGTTAGCGAAAAACGAATTCGATCACATGATGGACTTAGGAATCATACGACCGTCAAGTAGCCCATATGCATCTCCGTTGCACATGGTCCCTAAAAAGGACAGCAACGATTGGCGTCCAACTGGTGACTATCGGCGATTGAACGCGAAAACCATTCCCGAGTGTATTTCCAATATGCACTTGCATTTTCTTTTTTTTTCCAGGACGGCTGGAAAAGAACGATGACGTTTATGAGGGTCCGAAATTTTCATCAGAGAATTCCGATATATTGGTCATCGCCAAATATACTCTTCCGATCTCCTCGACTCTGTCTTTTGATTTCTCTGGGCGGGAACGAAATATATTAGAAGGTGTTACTGGTAGAAGCGTTGTCAAACAATGAATACCTGTGACATCATCATTAGAATGTGCATACAAATATGATCACAGGGCAGCATTTAGTCATTGAAACGCAATATTTCGACCTGAAGAATGAATTCATTTGAAGTAAGGCATACGTAGATGACCGACTTCGTCTCCTTTGCCTAGGTTGTGTTGGCGAGTTAGAAGTTGTAAGCTCTTCAGAAGAATAATTATTACTATCATCATCTGCATCCTGAACGCAAGCATCTGGCTCTGACGAGGTGTGTTTACGTCCATATGTACAGACATAAATGGTTCAAATGGTTCAAATGGTTGTGGACGGAATAGAAGAAGCTTTCGCTTAACAGGCTTCCGTGTCTAGTAGCAAGGGATCACGAAATCCTCCAGGCAGGAACCTAGGTATGTTAACACTAAAAGAGGAAAAGAAATTGGTAAATCATAGTGTGATGCTGTCCTTGGTTCTTAAGAATAGGTCAGGTTGCCTCTTGAAGGACTCCTGAGAAGTCGCTTGGACTAGCTCGGCCGGCAGCGAATTTCAGCTTTTGACAACTCTTAAGGAGTAGAAGTTGTGCCTACATTCCGTCTTGCTATGTTGTGTTTACAGTTTCTGGGTGTTACCTCTTAGGTTATTATTCGAACTAAAAAGTACTAAAAGAACTCACGAAAAAGTACTTTAGAGTTGGATCATCACTGTTCTCTTTGTATACTGACATAACGTACTTAGTATGCGTATACTGAAGAAATAATTACTAACCACAGAAGTCATATTACCTATATAATGCATCATCACGATGGCATCGTCTTCGTTACTTCAAGAATGGACGTTACTAGACATAGTGTGGCCGAACTCAATTGAAATCTAAAAATGTCTTGATTTGACCGCTTCTGAATATTTTCACGAATTGTCGATGTGACGCACCAATCATTTTGCGACAGTTTGACCTTCAAGTGCTCGCAGCCCCCATCAGGGGACGATACCCTAGGAGCGTTGCCACATACGGTCGGTTCACAGCGGATTTTAGAGAGGAGGTGATTAATGAGAGGTTAAAACAGATGGGACGGCGAAACTCTAATTTAGGGACGAGCCAATGAGAAGCGTTTGAGCAATTTCAATTATTAGTCAACCAGAAAACAGTATAAAGTAAAAATATGTTACAAGAACGTAATGAATTACAGTGGATATTCTTCTTTTACGTGATTTAAAAACTTGTTGAGGTTTGATAAAGGCTCAGAAGTTCTGAATTCATAATGCATATTGTATAGAAGCTTGTCCATAGGGTTAGGGTTTGGGGTTAAAATTAGGGTTAACGGTTAGGTTAAGGTTAGGGTTTAGGGTTAGATTAGGGTTTAGGGTTAGGTTAAGGTTAGGGTTTAGGGTTAGATTAGGGTTTAGGGTTAGGTTAAGGTGAGGGTTTAGGGTTATGGTTAGTGTTAGATTAGGGTTCAGGGCTAAGGTTGGGGTTTGGGGTTAGATTAGGGTTAGGTTAAGGTTAGGGTTATAGGTTTGGTTAGGGTTAGATTAGGATTTAGGGTTAGGTTAATGTTATGGTTAGATTAGGATTTAGGGTTAGATTAGGATTTCGGGTTAGGTTAAGGTTAGGGTTTAGGGTTAGGTTAGAATTAGGGTGCTAACATGCGATCGGTTTACATCGGATTTTAGAGAAGTGGTGTCTATTGACAGGCTACAACCCTAACCACTAACCCCATGGACGAGTTTCTATACAATATGCATTATGAATTCAGAGCCTCTGAACCTTTATCAAACCTTAACAAGTTTTTAAATCATGTAAAAGAAGAATATCCACTGTAATTCATTACTTACTTACAATATATTCTCACTTTATACCAACTGTCTTCTGATTGGCTAATAATTAAGGTCATTTAAGATTCGTTCAAAGGTCGTCGCTAAATTAGAGTCTCGCCGACCTGACGCAGTGTAAATATCTGGTCCATACAACTACGTCCAAATCGAAAACCAGCCTGATTTTCTCTAATCTGTTCTCTACTACCTTTAGTTAGGCGTCGAAGTATTGTTGAAGCTAATATTTTAGACACTATATTAATCAAACTGATTCCTCTGTGATTGTGAAGTATGATTTAAGTGGATAAACCCCAGAACACCATACAATTCACATTTTACGTTTGTACTTTTTTTCCTTCACACTATTGTAGATGGAATTTCATCGGCTTTCGCTTCTTCATCATCCTCATCTACTTTATCATTGTCATCGTTTGGATCTGTATTATCAAATAATAACAATAATGATTTAATATTAACTTCTGGATCAGCATTCCCATCAAATCCTGGAATTGTACGTAGTCATGATTATTTATCAGTTGATGCTCGTAAACCTAATGTTTATGATGGTTCACTTAGCAATATAACAATAATTCGTTTTTGTTTAATCAATAATTCCACATTGAAAACAATCGCCACAAGGACAAAAACAAAATTACCAGAAGTAGAAATGATCAATTCATCATCATCATTATCTTCTCCTTATTCTTCGATCTCCTCTGGATCCTTTCCATTGAATTCAATAGATTATAATAAATTATATGCACCAGATGAATCATATTTAGTTGGGCAAATTTATGACTCAATCAGTAATGTATACGGTTTACGGTTTACATCAAATTGGAATTTATTAGATCCATATATTATTCATGGAAAAGGCATAGTGTTAGAATATATTGGTAAGCATTAGTTTGTTTTTTGTTTATTACAGAGATTGTTTAAATGTTTATGTTATACACATGATGGATTGATTGCAGACAGGTAATCACTGAAAATGCTTACTTACTTACTTACGCCTGTTACTCCTCGTGAAGGAGCATAGGCCGCTCACCAGCATTCTCCATCCAACCCTGTCCTGGGCAATCCTTTCCAGCTCCTTCCAGTTGTAATTCATCCTTTTCATATCTGCTTCTATTATCCGACGCAATGTGTTCTTTGGCCTTCCTCTTTTTCGCCTCCCTTCAGGATTCCAAGTTAGGGCTTGCCTCGTGATGCAGTTTGACGATTTGCGTAATGTCCTATCCATTTCCATCGTCTTTTCATAATTTCTTCTTCAGCTGGAAGTTGGTTTGTTCTCTCCCACAGAAGGCTGTTGCTGATGGTATCCGGCCAATGGATGTTGAGTATCTTGCGAAGACAGCTATTTATAAATACTTGTACCTTCCTGATGGTGGTTGTTGTAGTTCTCCAAGTTTCAGCTCCATACAGTAGAACTGCCTTGACGTTCGTATTGAAGATTCTCATTTTGATATTGGTTGACAGTTGTTTTGAGTTCCATATGTTCTTCAATTGTAGGAATGCGACCCTTGCTTTGCCAATTCTCGCCTTTACGTCTGCATCTGAACCTCCTTGTTCATCGATGATGCTTCCCATGTATGTGAAGGATTCTACATCTTCCAGAGTTTCGCCATAAATAGTGATTGGATTGCTGTTCTTCGCTTTGAATTTGAGGACCTTGGTTTTCCCTTTGTGTATACTGAAGCCTACTGATGAAGAGACTGTTGATACACTGGTTGTCTTTGTCTGAATCTGTTCGTGTGTGTGCGATAGGAGGGCTAGGTCATCTGCGAAGTCTAAATCGTCTAATTGATTTTGAGCTGTTCATTGTATTTCGTGTTTTCCTTCAGATATCGAGGTCCTCATAATCCAGTCGACCACCAGAAGAAAGAGGAAGGGAGAGAGTAAACAGGCTTGTCTGACTCCGGTCCTTACCTGTAATGCACCTGTCATCTGTCCTCCATGCACGACTTTGCATTGTAGTCCGTCGTATGAGTTTCGGATAATATTGATAGTCTTCTCAGGAACTCCGTAATGCCGAAGAAGTTTCCACAACGTTCTCCTATCCACACTGTCAAATGCCTTTTCATAATCAATGAAGTTGATGTAGAGTGGCGAGTTCCACTTAACTGATTGTTCGAGGATGATCCTTAGTGTCACAATTTGGTCTGTGCACGACCGATCCTTACGGAATCAAGCTTGTTGATCTCGAAGTTGGGCGTCTACTGCATCTTTCATCCGATTCAGAAAAACTCTGTTAAAGACTTTCCCTGATATTGACAGTAGTTTAATGCCTCTGTAGTTTTCACATTTGCTCAGATCTCGTTTCTTTGGAACCTTGACGAGGTGTCCTTCTTTCCAGTCCATTGTCACTTGTTCCTCCTCCCAAATCTTTTTAAATAGAGGGTAAAGCATGCTTGTGGTTACTTCGACGTCTGATTTCAGTGCTTCAGTTGGTATGTTGTCGGGTCCTGCTGCTTTCCCGTTCTGGATTTGTCTGACGGCCATTCTGATTTCTTCCGTCGTTGGTGGGTTGACATCTATATGAAGATCTATGTGTGCTGTTTCGATGTCCAGTGGATTTATTGGAGCCGGCCTATTAAGGAGTTCCACAAAGTATTCTACCCATCTGTTCCGCTGTTGTTGAATTTCAGTGATTGGCCTGCCTTCTTTGTCTTTGACCGGCCTCTCTGGTTTACTGTATTTCCCTGATAGTTTCTTCGTTGTATAGTAAAGCTGTTTCATATTTCCTTCTCTAGCAGCTATTTCCGCCGTCGTTGCTAATTCTTCCACGTATTTCTTCCTGTCGGATCTAATGGTCTTCTTCGCTTGCTTGTTTGCTTCTATGTATTCAGCTTGTGCTTGGACTTTCTCTGTTCGTGTTCGGCTGTTGTTAATTTCTGCCTTCTTGTTCTTCCTTTCTTCGATCTTGTCTAGTGTTTCTGTAGAGATCCATTCCTTATGATGGTACTTCTTTAGACCCAGAACCTCTTGACACGTTGAAGTTAATGCTTCCTTGATGCCTTTCCAGTTGTCCTCCATAGTAGTTTCTTCTTCTTTCAGTAGATCTTGTAAGGCTTGGAACCTGTTGTTGAGAGCTATCTTGAATTCCTTGAGTTTGTCAGTATCTCGAAGGAAGGCTGTATTGAACTTTTGTATTACTGTTTGTCAAGTTGTCGAGTTCCTTTTTAGCTTCAGTTTTAAATTGGCTACAACTAGGTGGTGATCTGAAGCTACGTCAGCACCTCTTCTGGTTCTCACATATTCGATTGTCCTTCGGAATTTTTGTTGATGTAAATATGATCTATCTGGTTCTCTGTAGTGTGGTCCGGTGTGATCGATGTAGCCTTGTGTATACGCTTGTGTGGAAATATTGTTGAATGCACATAGATTTGCAAATCTTTCTCCATTTTCGTTTCTCTGTCCCAGTCCATGTCGTCCCATAATATCTTCATATCCGGTGTTGTCTATTCCGACTTTGGCATTTAGATCTCCCATTAGAATTGTGAGGTCCTTTCTTGGGCATTTCTCTATCATTGACTGCAGCCGCTCGTAGAATTGATCTTAAATGTCGTCGTTGCTATGATTGGTGGTGCATGACATTGGATAATATTCATTGTGATCCCCTCCTTCTTTGTTTGAATGATGCTTTGATGATTCTGGATCCGTGAGATTCCCATCCTACAAGTGCATTTCGTGCTACTTTGGACAGCATAAGAGCGACTCCGTGAGTGTGTGGAGCATTTTCCTCTTCGTGACCGGAGTATAGCAGCATCTCTCCCGTAGCTAGCCTTTTCTGTCCAGCTTGGGTCCAGTGGGTTTCGCTGATTCCCAGTACTACCAAATTGTATCTTCTCATGTCCGTTGCTATTTGACTGGTCTTTCCGGTCTCCCACATTGTTCGGACGTTCCATATAACTGCAAAACGTTTTTCTCTGGTTGTCAGAGGGGGCATTGGCTTCGTGGCTTCCGAAGGAACTCAGCTTTCACCATGAAGCGTCATAATTCTTCTAAATGAAGACCTTCTAACTCCCAGGGCAGAGTTAAAATGGTTTGAATTAATTTTTCTGGTAAGCGTTTTTTTAGCGAGTTAGTTTTCTACGGGACCGGCAGTAACTCTAGAAGAGCTACAGGCGGAGTTAATCACTGAAAATGAGGAAACATTAAATGGCTATTTCATTCATTGTAGCATTGAACTCTTCAGTATTTTACACTGATGAACCATTCAAAGAATTTCAGACTTGATGGCGAGACATCAATCCTTATACTAACCAGTTGTGGCCTAATGGTTGATGCTTGTGAAGACAGTCAGTCAGTCAGTCAGTCAGTCAACTTACAGCATTACGAAATCATTATCTAGTGATATTGATATGTAGTTGCCTGAGACTAGATATAACTGAACTAAATTGATCATAACCTGTTACTAGAACTCTAGGTAATACTTCTCAAAATTAATCATTACTAAGCATTACTACGAGCTGACTCAATTTAAAAACGTAAACCTGATGTGTAGCTGATAAAAATACTGACTGGTTGTTTGCCTAGTCAGAGTAGTAGATGGTCTGACAAGTATGAGATGTGTCACATGTTTTCTATCATATTATTATTTCTTATTGTTTGTTATTGTCGTTGAAACATTCGCACGTTCTAGTGTGATCAGTCACGTGTTCGTGATGGAAATCGCATTGAAGTCTTGTAGAATAGACACTGTCAGGGTATCGTGTGTAGATCCTCGTCTCATTCGTGTAAAGAAGAAATTCCAGCGTCATTTTTAAAACGATCGTTCTTGACTCAGTGATCGAAAGCTTATAGAGAGGCTATTAGGTGTTTTGTTTTTGAACTTGATCTATGTTAGGCTTGTGGATTTACACTATTCAGAAGTCTTATATTAAGACGAAACAGTTGTCTAGTGCCTACTGATTTTCAATGATTGTTTTGTTACAGGAACTTCATGATATCAACTACAATATATAACTGTTTATGTCATTGTGTTTTATGAATATGTCATAAATGTTTTACGAAGTATCGTGTATCAGAGTAAAGTTTAATAAAGATCCAGTTTAAAACAACTCTCTTCGTCTTGATATCTTGTATTAATTTCCACAATGAGAATTTCTGAAATTTTTGCGTTGACATTAGTTTAATGATTATCAAAAATCAAGATACATTGAAACAAATGTATCCATGATCTTCAAGTCTCGTCAGTGAAAATGACACCATCTAACCATTGAATCATTTCGAATTTCGTCACTGATTGATGATGAATTGAAATGACGAAATCTTTAGGGATAATTAATTAAACTTCTATATGTAGTGCTCGTTGATTTACTGTTAGACAACAACAAGAAAATAACCGTAAATGTTGAATCCATTACAATGACTGAATATTGAAACTATTCTAGATCAACTCAAGTATAACACAGTCGTTTTATGAATATGAAATGAAAACCAACTTGACGTTGATTGGATTATTATTATTTATTTTATTTTATTTGAACACATAAATATTGGTACAAGAGAGCGCCAATATATATGCGCCACACAAAACAATGGGAATTCGAAGAGAAAAGAAAAAAAAAAAAAAACTAAGGAACGCAAAAGAAAAAGAGAGTAATGACGAAAAGGTACAATCAGAAGAAATCTTTCAGGTAAAGGAGACACAACCACTTTTTATGAAGAAAGTAAAAGAAGGTTACAGCAGGATCGCCACTGGCTTCTATTCTGAGCCATATCTGATAACGTCTCTAGCCACTGTGTAACACCATCTCTCGGACCCCAATCAGGTAGTCGTGAAGGACCGACACAAGCCAGTCCTATGCAGCTTTCTTTCATACCACGATACCATGTCATACACTGACCACCTCTCTGCTTCTTCCAACCAGTCCCAGAGTCGGCAAATCAT